CTGATAGTTTAAACTTTGAGGTGAACAATCCGCCAATCAGTGTCCCTCCGGATAGAGCCAATAGCTTAATGATACCTGAAGTAAATACAGAAACGCTTACAGCTTTAGATACAGGTGAAAAGAATCAACAGAAGAATTCTCAAAATGAAATCAGATATATAACAAAATAGAAGCGTCAGCAAGTAATCTTGGTTAAGTCGTCCCGAAAATCCAATTGTAATATCATTTCTTGACTTTAATGTCCTTCTAACCAGTGACAATTTGACTGGTGCATGGAGTATAGTTTTATTTTGTTTCTACTTGTAAAGAATGTCTGAAGCATTAACATCCCTCCATTTGAACTCTTCCGGAATTATCCACCACAAAAATAACATTTAGCTCCTGTTAAGGTACACGCATCACCGACAAATGAATCTTTGTTTTCTGGTGCCATGGCTCCCACAGCTGGTGAGAGCGGACGTGAATATGATTCAGAGTTTTTCTGTGCTAGTTATAGAGCTCTGGTTTGATTAAGTCGTAACCGTTTTGAGCAGAGTTAACCGTTTTGAAACTGCATTCTTTAGCTTGTAATTGTAACCCCTGAACACACTCATCAGTATCTTCGTCTTCTATTAGCCTCTTCGTGAATTACTAAACTATAATAAGAAATAGAACTAAAAAGTACCTTGACGAAGGCTAAGAGTAAATATTAATACATAGAAATACAAGTAAAAGAGGATATGTATATACAGTACAGCAAAGAAGTGAATAAAGAGTTCAAATCGAGGTGAAGTTAATGCTTATGACACTACTACAATCACAAATCTTTATGTAGTGGTAGTTTAGTTTAAATATGTGAAGAGTGGAGACTACGAATAGTCTTCCCTGGACATGAACGTTTCTCCATATTTTGTGCAACTACTTGATGTTATATAGGAATAAAGTGTCGCTACCGACACTGGAGTTTGAACACAGATCACCAGAGAGCAAATACAGGTGATCCCATTTTGAATAAGTAGATCACGTGATGGTAAAGGAAATGTATCTATGGGAATTAGCGTGGCGTCTAATTGATCACTATTTCTACTCTATCCTCTATTACTATACGGATCGCCATTTTCTATATTATTCACTATACTATTTTTTTATACTGATCACTATATGGATTACTATTCGAATCACTGTTGGGTAGTTACTATTCGAGCGAGTATTATCGAGCATGTACTATTAATGCGAGTGTTATTCGAAGGCATTTGACACCAGTATTGTTCAACGGTGTTACTATAGTTGTATCTGCGATTACAAAATCTCTACTACAACGAGCATTACTAAAGTGACAACGAGTATTCGTTGACATTACAAAAGTGGCAATGAGTGTTCGTTGATATCACAAAACTTGAGTATCTACTATTATTTTTCAACTCTTTGCTCTTATAATAACAACACAAAAAAATTCGAGTATTACTATCACGCATCTCTTTTGATAGATATGATTATCCAATCAACTGACATTATTTCAAGTCCTTTTTTTGCGGCCATCCCTATACCGCTGCATGCACATAAAATTTTGCACTGAAAGCACAATTCTTGGAGTGTTTCCATGAAATACACTTTGAGAACTGAAGATATCAAATACGAATTACTTGCAGTAGGCGCCAACTTCAATAAATTACTTGCCTCTAAAGAGAGAAGAAATACCGTCTATTTTCGCATATAAGGCGACCTTTAGATAAGACGAGGCAAAAAAAAATATCGCAATTTTTCATGAATTTATTCTATACCTGCTTATTGATTATATAAAGATGATGTTATTGAAAATGTTGTCACTTACTGTATCCTTAGAAATTCAAAATAAACCAAATAACAAAATCGATTCTATAAGTTTTCCTACTCACGTCCCCTAAAAGAGAAACCATTGTCTTGTTTACGCTTCCTCATGTGATCTCCTACTAATACTGATTCTTCTTCTTTTCCTATATCTAAACTGTTACAAACAGCCTGGTGTACTAATGGCCATTTACTTATACTTCATCGACAATTACAATAATGTCGCTAATAACAGTATGATAATATACGGTAATAGTACATTCCGCTTTCAATATTTTTTATTCAGTTCGAATAACACAATCATAACTCGATGTTTACATTTTCTCAGCTGGGCTTGCATGAATACAAGTTGATTTCGTTGATATGAAATTATTCTTCGAATTCTTTACTATAAAGTTATGCCAGTAATATATAGCATAGAAATGATTTTATTACTTTTATTATCAGTTTATTTGATAACGTGAGTATTTTCATGTACGTTATTGATTATCACATCGAGGCTGAGGTTAGCCTATCGACAAACATCACTCAGAATTTAAGGTTTCTTTTTTAGTATTGTAGTACAAGACGATCCCTAATTTTTAAGGGTGATTTTGGGGATTTAAAGGTCGTCTTATACGCGGAAATATACGGTAGAAGTTAATTCATTTGTTATCTTTTTGATACCAAAATCAAGAAAATCCATCAATGCCATACCAAACAGACTTCGGTATTTGGATGACTGAAAGTGTGCACACAGGTTAACAATCCAGTCACTCGTCAAACTTTCAGCTCAGTTTTTCTCGAATTTTCGCCACCGAGAAGAAAAGGTCAGTTTATCTTTGTCGCAACGCAAGAAATCTTCAGATTAGAATTTGAATTTCCCTGGCACCCCGTCTACATGAATCTAAGCGTAGTACTAGATTACCACCTAGGTTCCACTCTTTTACTGCCGAAATAGTTAAATGTAACCACCACTTCTACTTCAGCACTTTATTTTCTCGCACTTCCCGCCCGTGGAACGTCCTTTCGTTTATGTAATTCCCTGAAAACTACAGTCTTCAAAAATTTAAATGCAACGTTAATCGTCTTCTTAAATCCTTTTCATCTTTTATTCTTTCCTCAATCTCCACTATACCTAGTCATTTCATTTACTTCCACTCTCTGTAACCACCTGCACACTAGTGGCATTCCCGCCTTGCTTGGGGTGAAATGATAAAAAAAAAAGTTCTTGTCCTTTTATTAGGTGTATTCAAACATTACCAGAATTATGTTTTGATTTATTTTTCTACTGTTTTCTTTATTTAAAAAATGGCGCTGGGAATTTTAAAAACAGCGCCTACTAATGAAAATTATGCCTGAATTTCTGGAATGATTATATTATCTCAAAAAATTCTTACAATCAAAAAACATTTCCTGGCTTTAAATAATCTGCAATGGGTAGATAAACAGTAGAAAACGAATCAACCAATCCATAGAGTAGGAAATGTTTTATTCCCTATTATATCTATTTTACTGTTGGCTGATAAGTAAACTCTTTAGTACGTAGCATTGCTAATAGGGGAGATAGATGTTTGAAGAAATATTTTCGTAGTACATATAGACCTGTTCAAAGGTGTTTAGGATCAGTTTGTTGCGATAGCACTGAATAATAAACACCGTAGGGCTCATGGTTGTTTCCAAAACTGAAAGTGACTTTGAGTGGTCAATGTATTCATTCGATGCTGAGGTTGAATTTGTCGTGTACATTTATATCAAAACTAAAATTCACAGACGGAATGAAAAAGCTGATAAAACAATTAGAAAAATATGCAGCACTAAATTCTGACAAGTTGAAAATAAACTTGTGATTTTGATGAAAAATAAATTTCTTTCAGTTAGATATCAATTTATATTTAAGAAATTACTGTTCATGTAAGTAGTAAATGTTTGTATAGTTGAATGCAATTTTTTGATCAAAGTTATCTACATTTGATTGTTTTGTGTAATACAATGTTCTCGAATGTTGAGAGATAAAGTTGATTTGTTAGCAGGAATTTGTTTAACTTCTGCGTAAGGAATTTGGTAAATGAATGGGAATAGAGTTCACTGGTGAGTTTTGATGACTGAATGTGAATATCGTTAAGCTTGTATAATGTTCGTATGAACGAAAACTTAAGATTGTGTGACATGAAGTTTAGTTGCAATTCGTTTGATGTCACAATGCTCACTGGAGAGTGTGAATGAGTTTCTGTTTTTATTTGCTTCGGGTGGCTTACAGAGATTTGGAACGAACTTGGATTTCAGTCACGGGCTGTAAAAATTAGTTAAGCGTGGGTGGATAGTCACGCCTACTTGTATATTTATTAACCAATGAGGGCTCGAGATTTTTTTGAAAGTGTATGAAGCTGAAAGTGTTCTGTGATCCACTTTATGTACAGATTTGACCAAATTACTTTTGGGTATTGGAATAATGTAGAATTTGGGTTCTACAGCTGAATTATATACGTGGATGCAGCATAATGGTTATGTGCGCAAAATGTGGAATCGGCGTATCGGGTTCAAATTTTAACTGTTTCATTTTCTTTTCACTTATACACTTGGAAAACGCATAAATCCGTTTTTCTCCACCTACTGGTTAAATAGTTGTACAAATTGAGATGTCTTGCCGTGTGTGGAAGCCAGTCTATGCAAAGAAAAAATGAATCCTTGCCAAGCTGGCACTTTAATCTTGCTTGTCCAAAATAAAAAATAAAAAATGAGGACACCTTCCGAGTGGAGCGTTGCAGACACGGATGTAAGCAAGCTGAACCTTCGTTTAGATTTTTTAACTCGACTCTAAAACCGTACATGTGATTACCGTTTCATTAACTCATTGTGATTTTTATTTTCATAAGATTTGTTTCCAACATTAAATTAACCAACATGCGTTGATATGTTATTAAATAAGTCAGACCAATTCTTAGCTTAGGAGAAGCACAACTATAGATTCAAAACCAGCCTGAATTCAAAACCAGCTCCGTCAAGTTATCTTACCCTAGACACACCCACTTTAGCTAAAGCTGCAGTACATGTGGCGCTTATACGACTCTAATAGGTTATAGTACTTATGCTTGTACATACTTCAAATTATCTCTAGATATAAAGTGAGTTATATATCTATAGAAATAATGTGAACGTGTGAATATGAAGTTGTGTAATTACGTTCGTATTACTTTTCCAGAATATTTACTTACCCATCACAGCATTTGATTTCCAAGCAGGAAGAAAGAACTGGACTTCGAGATATTTAGCATTGAAAGAAAAAACTCCTGCAATTCCCAGCATCTTAACAGACATCGCCGAGGCGAGTAGGATATAGGGTGGCTGTCGAAGAATTCGTATAATAGACTTGAAGAAACCTAGAATATAAAATGAAGTTGGAATATGGATTCATACTTTCTATGAGAATAAATGAATATTTAGTGGAGAGTGATTAAAAAAAGGATACAAATAGATTTTGAATACGATTTTAATACTGATTCTTTTAAGTAAATTTTGAAGGTATTTTGAACCCAACTTTTCTTTTTAGGTTAGATCATCAAACTAGTGTGAGAAAAGTACTTAAAAATTCTGGATATTTTGGTGTGCTGAATGCTGTCATTACAAAACTGGATTGAACATTTAAATAACAACAGTAGGAAATATCAGATTGGATTTTATCATCTCACTGAATCCCACCATTGTGCTTTACATTTGGAAGTGTAAACTGATGCTCATATATTTTAAGTTCGAATTTTTTCACTACTTACTCAAACGCTTTTGAAACCAGAAGATAAAAATTGAAATTATTATTAATGTATTATTAACTAATGAAGCTTTTCATGATTACTTTTTATTACAGTTATACGATAAAGTGCGGAAAATTCTCGACTTGGTGATTTTGCTTTTTAATAATTTAAAAAATAAAGTTGAAAATTAGATTTAAAAAAAAAACATCAACTGTTTGTTCACGGGTTCACCATATAAATGAATAATATTTTTAACTGCGGGAGGCGGAATAGTAAAATTAACATTATTTAACCTTTTAATGAATCTTTCAGTGCGGAAAAACTTTTATTTTCATTTGATGACGATTTTATCTTTAATTTCCTTTCCGGATTAATATCTTCTTTTTGGCATTTTTTCTTTGGCAATCTCCTCGGGAATAACATTACTGGAAACATGAATATGATTGCTGCAACACCGAATACGAGAAAACCAAGCCACCAGGCTCCGATCCATCGTGGGTCTTCCGGAGTAAGATCCGTTTCTGTTAGAGATATAAAAAAAAAAAAAAAAAATCAGGCGATATAACATATTTATTAATCCAGAGCCGTAGATGCTGACTCCATTATATATATTATATCTCAATGAATGCAATGTGAATGAGTCTAAGGGAAGACGGTGAACTTTTCAAGTAAGCGGGAAGCAAATAATTTTACATGGCTGTAATCCTAATGGTAGTGTCATTGATTCTTTGACAACTCGGTATACCCTGAGTTCACAGGTCAACTGTAAAAGCTAAAATTTATAAATTTTTATGCGTTTGTTTTTAATTTCTAGTCATCTGTTAATTTTCTATAATAGACTGGAAGCCGCCATCTTTAATTTTCTTGATATGCCTCAAAGAGAAATGATAATATGTTAATACTAGACGCATTATGTTAGGTCATCTTCCATTTTGAGAATGTGTCTTTTCAGATATCTGGAAATCACTATTATAACATGCATACAAATGTTTCAAACACTTTGTTTGAAAACAGGAGACTGAATACACAATAGAAACCCTTTAAAAATCATTGGATAATTTTCCACACACCTAATATTTCATTAGATTTGCTGGCCTATAAAAACTGCTGCTTTTCCCTGGAACAGAACTCCCAAATCCTTTTTCAGGCCTGTTTTTAGTTCTTACTGATCAGCTCCCGATTAGTAATATGAGAAATGGGTACATTTTTTTAAAAAGTGCATCTTATACACAAACATGATGTTATGCATATGCATAAAATCTCATTTGTATATGTAGATGTTGATTGCTTGAAGCTGACTTTAAGGAATCACTCGATGTGAATCGATCTCAGTAAATTAGTCCGATTTTAAGATGCGAATATGCATCAAGACCGGACAAAGTTTTTTTAATTTTGAGTGGTGAGTGGTGGGAATTAATGGATTTTTTTGTAAACGTATAATTAATACTGGATTTTTATTATTACCAGATTTTACGATAGGTATTTAAGGGTTAATTGCCAAGTACTTACTTTCTAATGTGAAGTAGAGTCGACTAAAGATGGTGGCCGAAGAGAATGATACTGAAGGCGCCATGATTGCCACGGATGTGATGATTCCTGAGAAACAAAAGAGTAAAATGTTGGAGATAGAGCTCTATTCTGTGTGCATATATATATATATATATATATATATATATATATATATATATATAAAAGAAATGGACAAAGTCCGACAATTTATTTATTAAAGTTGGTAATCCGAATTTCCTTCTTGAATTCAAGATTCAAGAAGGAAATTCGGAGACCAACTACCTAAACAGAGAATGTCTCATTTCGAGAATATTTAACATTGAACATGAGGAAAAATTAATTATTTTTAATAATATGTGGAAATCTCCATTTTTACCTGAAGACGGTCGCGAGACCAGAAACACGTGTCGTAAAATTATGTAAAACAAAGCATAATATTTTTCTAAATAAATCCACATTACAACTAAAAACGTTTGCGGCACCTCTCTTCTCTTCTTTTTTAATATACATACTTTTTCTCTCGTTGGAACCACTACAACATATTTTTTTTTATATATATATATATATATATATATATATATATATATGTATATATATATACTTTTGTGCATATAAGAGCTGGTTTGGAGTAGTCATGCCGGTGAGAATTTTTAAACTTATAAAATATGCGTGCAGGTTCAAATAAACGTTCCGCTATGAATTTTTATATAAGTTTGTTAATCGTAGAACAAAATAATCGTGCCGCGGAGAAAATTATGGTTAAAATTCATTAAGTGCACCGTACTAAATTGTTCCGTGGGTTAAGTTGAAGGCAATAGCACTGTGGAAGGAAGATAAATATGCGAGGTGCCATTTTCCCTTCGTGGGCTTTTTATGGTGTTACTATTAAATGGCTGCATACTTCCAGGACGGACTTCTTAAACATGGGTGAGAAGGTAGATAAGCGATCATTAAGACCAGACGAACTTTGACCCTCTCTGTAACCGAGCGGTGAAGAGCGCCGGATCAACCGTTGGTTTCTCTTGCAGAGGGCGCGGGTTCGTTCCCTGTTGGATCTTTATTACAATTTCTTGAGTACGCGGGCCGATAGAGGTGATACACACGGTTTTATTTTCCTTACGCACATTTTTGTCTTTCATTCTAACCTGAAGAAGCCGAACCTATCATACGTCGGCGAAACGCGTCGTCAATAATTTTTTTCCGACTTATCTCCATACTGTTTAAAATAACCTAACATACGTAAGCGAAATGCGTCGTCAATAAATTTTTTCGGCTTATCTACATACTGTTTAAAAAAAAATAAAAATTGGGGGGTCTATTTCAAATACGAGTATCTACTAAATAATAACGCTTGAAATAATAAAATAAATAATACTTCACCAACAAATTTGCCAGTTTTTGTTTTCTTCACATTGTTATCGATATAGGAAGTAATGAGAGGCGATCTTCCTGACTTAGCCGCTCCTTGTATGACCATTCCAATTGCTAAGATGACCAGGGCAAGAGTGTTTGTCCAATGGCGAACATGATTGTTTTTAACAGCATCTTTGTCACCAATTGTATCTTCCTTTGTACCAGTTTGACTCCAGCACATATATTCGTAATCCATGTTGTAATAAGAGGCCGAAGAATTTGTAGTCAAACCTATATTATAACAAGAAAAAATCTTTAACGTGAGATACAACGAAATTAGGTTATAATTTTTTAAAAATTAACCCATTATTGTCCACCAAAAATGGGACAGTGGGCATTAATTTGTTTTTATATGTTTTCGGAATGAGAAACTATAGAGCCGAGTTCGAATTCCAGTCAAGTTTGTTATACTCAGTTACGCGCAAATACCTTTATGAAATGTACTAATCCATTTCATCCTTCCAGCTATGGCTTAAATAGTAGGACTTGAATATGCAAAAATCATTGGTATTCTCAAAAAACTGTTAATGCAATATTCACTCGCGTAAAAAGATTTATTCTTACAATTCAAAATGTCTTTCAGCTTTAAATAACCTACGTGGGGTTAGTAAGCCGTAAAAAACAAACCAATCAATTGCTATTCAATTTTTTTATGCTCTCTATGCCTCATGAACGATTTGTGGTTCTCCTTTTCCATCTTTTTTTTTTATAACAAAATGTTGTTGAAGCTGTTGAAGTGATATTTGACTATCTTAGAGTTTACAATTAAATGGGCCAATGGATATGAGAACTTAGATGTAAAAAGTTTAGGCATTGACTCATTTCTTATTCCCATTTCAGTCTTGTCTGTTATTGTTTTGCATTATCTCAGGTTATTATTGACTAACAATAGTTGTTATACTGAACGAATAAATAGCGCGGCACATTTTTATTGTAAAGCAGTAATCTCCCTTGTTCCCTAATTTCCTATCCGCGGTCAACCATAGAAATCAACAATTGATAAATTTTACTTAATCCCGAGAATAGTGATGCAGGTATTTCGGATATGCTAAACAGAAAATGCTTCCTTTAAGTGAAAAAAATGAGCTTTTGTTTTTATCAGGAACGAAAAAAAGTGTGTGGTGCGGTAACTAAGATCTACACTAAGAATAGATCTTTCATCTTTCACAGAACTTTTCTAACAGTTTATATTTGTTCTATTTTACTATTCGTTATTATTATCAATCTCTTATTGTACCAAATTTATAAATAAAGCATTGTATATATAGGGTTCGATATTATATGTAGTTGGGATATATCTCCGACGAATAAGTCGGGGTTACTGTAATTTCTCTCTCAAAATCTATTTTCAATGAATCAGAGGTCTATTATTCATCTTTTCTATGCCATATTTATTCAGAACTTAGGTGATCATGGCTATCCACAGATTCCCTTTTCTTTATTATTCTTAAGTATGAAAGATAATAGATTAGTTCCCTTTGCTTTCTCTTAGACAATTTGATACACAGTTTCCCTACTACATACACCATTGACAGAGAGAGAGAGAGAGAGAAGAGATTAATTCGTACTTTTGCCAAGGAAAAGGAACAGACTATCCCCGATTATTTTCTCACAGACGCGCCGTCGCCTCTCTCTGTCTGTTTTACAAATACTTTCATGGCAATTGCTCTGAGGAGCTGCATTCGCTGGTTCCCAGACTTCATGAGTTCAAGCGCACTACGCTCTCACCCCTTCACTGTCGAAACTCCTAAATGCAGCCGTTTTTCTACTCCAATAGCTTCATGACTCGCACCTCTCACCTGTGGAACTCCCTTCCCTATTCCAGTTTCCCTGAGAGCTATAATCTCCAACTATTCAAATGTAACGTCAATCGACATCTCCAGTTGCCTTGATCTATCCATTACCCTTCTCCTCATCCTCCTATCACTCCTATCTGATCTTGCTCCAAATTTTCTGTAACCCCTTGCACCCTAGTGGCTTCCCGCCTTGCTTAGGGTGAGACGCTTAAAAAAAACAAAAAACAAAAAAATTCTTTACCTCGGCACAGAGGAACTCGGACGAAGCTTTGCCGCAGGGCAGGGCTTCGTCCGGGGTGGTAGACAGTCCCTGAACCCGTTTATACGGGTTCAAAGGGAATATTTTTGACCGAGCCTACGGGCTCGGTGAAACCCACATTAAACTTGATCTTGTGCCACATACACTCCTTGTGGGGGGACTGTTAAATATAACAGACTATCCCCGAATTTGAACTCGGCTCGCTGATTCAACTTTTGGTATCGACCCACACTTCTTGCTGTTTAGTATCTGTAAGTGCATTTAAAATTTTGTAAAACTGTTAAAGCAAAATTCATTGTCTTTTGAAAATCTCGGTATCCTTTATTACAACACCCAATTTGCTTTTATTTTCTGTGAATCTTAATCAAGCTGCATGAACCGGAAATAAAGAATGAACTTCCGACGATATCTCAACTTCCGCTCATTTTCTTCGGTGGGGATCTTATCTGATACAGACAGCGACTTATCAGTTAGGTTACGAAAGCTCAACCACCAGGCGTAATTCTAATAAAGACATATAGTTACAGTCTTCATTATCCAAGAGAGAAAGCGAGTTCAGATCGGAAACTTATTCTTTATTTCCAATACATGGTGTTCAACGGTCGTAGAATATAAAACGACACAAGCCTTGTAATAAAAATATAAAAGCAAATCGAAGCGAAAAAGTTTAGTAAAAAACTGAATTAATGGTAGTATTTTATCTAAGATATTCGGACAATTTCAAATTATCATATAATTACGGTATTTATTAAGCTTATTTTAGTAATGTCACAAGTGAGGTGCACCTGGTAGAGATCGAAACCATTATAATAATATTCGTGTCCTTATCACTGATGTAATGGAATTTTTAACTGAACGGATAAATTCAGATTCCGAATTAAAACAAAAACTAAATTAATTTTTTTTTAATTAAGAAATAAGAAAACCCTGTAACAAGGCTTTTTTTTTAACAAAAAGATTATCATTGAATTTGTTCCCTCGCAGATTTTACTCTTTAACTTTCATTTAATAATTACCTCCCTTGAAAAATAATTAAAGCTTTTTTTTTCTCTTCAGTTGAGTGAGAATATTGACTCCATAATATTATTATTGGTTCAGTTGCAAATCGCCCAGATTTTTACTCTATTCTGAACGCTAATGTATTTTGGGGGTATCCTAATAACCCTGGCCACAATGCACCGTTTTAACGACATAGTAGTTACGTATATACATACAAAAGCGCTATCATTGGGATTTTAAGCAACCTTACCATTTTTATCCAATGGTCCTTTCGGTATTTTTCTTTGATTCTGAATACTTTCAGAGCCTAAAAAATACGGCAAAGCACAGATTAAGCCGGAAATACCAAAAAGAAAAGTAAAAAACGACAGAAATCTTGGTGCATGACTATTTCGAAGATAGTAGCTGACAAAAAGTACTGTAACCAAGAATCCAATGTCGTTGCACGCCAAAAGGAAGCCGCTTTCGGCACTGCTGAAACCGAATTGTCGCTCAAGTGCTGTTATCTGTGATGTAATGTAAGAGCTTAAAGTCGATGTTGAAAGGGCAGCAAATGAATACATCAAAACAAAACAGTAGATATTGGCACATGGTTGAAAACAGGACGGACGGAACGAACCGATGCCACATTCCATGTCACGTGTGTCGTCATTTGAACTGTCAACGTCAAGAAGACTTTTTTGTTGGCCCTCATCTTTGGTGGTTGCGTTATGATTACTGCGGTCCACTTCGGAAACAAAGTCTTTGGTCTGGGAATTTCCTGGTTCCATTATATCCTGTGAGACGCAATAATGATACTAATAATAATAATAAAATAATAAAAATAGAAAAAAAATGTGGAAATTGAAAACAAAAATATTACCAGTCATAGTAGGTGCGTTTGGAATGATTGAAAAAAATTGAAAAAAAATCATTAGAAATCCCAGCTTAAGAGAAATACAAAAAATGTTTTGATAAGTACAGCCCACACACTAAGAAGAACTTTATCCAGGCAACGCTAGTGATGTTATAAAAGTTGGAAAAAAATCATGAAATGTAGTCATAACAAGACACCACTGCCTGTTTTAGGTCTTCCCGCAGACTTGGTAGGTAGTCTGGCCATAGCAGAAATCGAAATCTAATGGTGATGTTGATAATCATGATAATAATAATACATTCAACACACATATATAGTAATTTATCTTATTATAGGTACATTATGTCTAATAAAAAGCAGATATGGCAAAAAAGAATTCACTACAAGAGTTTAAAAGTCGATATGGGTGTGCTTGTAGTGTAGCGGATATCGGAAAGTGAGACTGGTGTGCAGAGTTCAAATTCTGGCCACATCGGATATACCCACATTATCCTTGGGAAATGTGTGAATCCATCTCTTTTCTCCTTAGCAGGGTATACTTGGAAACCATTACCGGAAGAACTGCTCCGAGTTTAAAATGTCTGAAGAGTGATGGATAAAAAGACTAACTGTCTCCCATTTTACCGATAGAAATGAGTGGATTCATGCATTTCTCAAGAGAATAAACACTGTCCAAGCCAGTGTTTTGAACTCAATTCGTCCAGTCCACTCGCACCTTCTTTATTTTTAAACGAATTTTTACGAGACATCTGTCCTTCTTTACGGCAACGAATGTTGCACGATTTCCTCAAAAAATGAAGAAGAGATTCGAGGTGACAGAGATGCGGTTCTACAGAAGGATGCTAAGGGTATCATGGACCGAGCGTGTGAGCAACGGTGAGGTCTTAGAGAGTTTGCAAACAAGGAGGAGGCTTATACTTAACATCAGGAAGAGGCAGATGAAGTTTCTGGGGACACATAATGAGGAAGGAGGACCTGGAGAATCTGATACTCACGAGTCGAATAAAGGGAAAAGAGAGAGAAGGGAAAACAACGCATAACATACCTAGCGGCATTAAGCAAGTGGATGTCAGAACGTGGCCTAGGGGAGGAAGCAGAGGGGAGGAACTTGAGAGCTGCAAGGGATAGAGGGAGGTGGAGAGCCATGATCGCCTACGTCCTGAAAGAACATGGTACATAAAAAGAAAGACAGATATACAGCATATGATGACCAGAGAGCGCATTGGCTGAAACTTTAATAACAAAAAGAAGATTACCAAATAGAATGATTTCTGGAATAATGACATTGTTCTTTTTGTAAAGATCTTCTTCTACGTGTCGTGTCCCTTCAAGACGTTGCCGATCATGGCTCTTCACAATTTCCTGTCCTCTGCAGCTCTTAATAAATGTTGTCTTTTCGTTATCTCTCCTAAACCCTGTTCCGACATCTATTTAATCCCGCTAGGTAGATTATGCATTGTTTCTCTGACCCTCTTGCCTTCAACCAGTCCTGTGAGTATCAACTTTCCAAAGCCCTCACTCGTCATAACATTTTAGGGATATCAGTGGACGAATAAGGATTTAATGTACGAAATAACAGTACAAAAATATGTAGAATGTATAATTTAAGCAATTATTATCATCAACAACATTATTGTAATAGTCATTTGGCTTATAGTATAATAATATATACACTAGCTGTCAAAATGCTCATGTAAACGATGCTGATAATAATTACTAAGATTTTCCACATGTTATAATGTATAAATAAATATAATGTATAAATATATATTTGCAAAAATATAAGAATTAAGTAATTTTGATATATATTTATTAATACGTTCGAACTAAGTAAGGAAGAAACAGAATTATATGATGTTTTACTGGTTAGGCAATACCAAGTAAAGTAGAAGCTCTACCAGGGTTTATTATTTGTGGACAATCTAAAAAACAGCATAAAATGACTAGATGACACCATGTTGATGACAGACACAGAAATAAAAGTACACAACTTCTTAGAAAAGGTATTAAAGGAAAACGAAAAGAAAGGATCAACCATCCATTGTAAAAAGACAATATATGTTCATTACAGAGTGGTGTGGGGCCTCAGAATAAAGCAAATACAAAATTGAACTATCTGGGATGTGTTTTAACAAGCGACGGAAAGTATGACACAGAAATTCCAGGGTGCCTTAAAATAGCAAAAGATGTCTTCCGAAAAGCAAACAGTATTAAAAAACGGGAAAATTCCATTCGAAACTAAGAGTACTAAACTGATACGTAATATCAATCCTCCTATATGGCAATGAATACTGTATAATTTCCTCACAGATGAAGAGGAAACAAATGTGGTTTTATAGAAAGGTACCATGGACGGACCCTGTGAGCAACAAAGATGTTTAAAGAGAAATGGAAACAAAACAAAAAAAGACAACTGATCTTAGAATCAGAAAGAGACAGTTAAAATGTCTGAGACACATGATGAGGAAGGATGGCTTGGAAAAATTGAAACTTGCAGGACACATTAAAGTCAAAAGAAAGTAGTAAGCTAGTAAAATCCAAACTGCCAAGTTTAGTTATCTAGGATTGTCGCATGAACTTAAGTTAATTTCTAGTTCAACAGATAACTAGGTATAATTTACTGGTAAAATCTAAACCAGTTACAAACGTAGCCACAAGTATCTGGTTCCCAAAATGTTTATTAGACAACTCAATGTATGCATTATATTGTAGAAAAATAGTAGTTATATAAAACAACTGTTTACAAGAAATGTAATCTAATTAGTCATTTCAAGAAAACAGTGATATCAGTCAGAGGGATAACCATTTTTTTTTTAAAAAGAAAAGAAATGTAAAAAATATTCAGTCGGTCTTTTCTCTATGCAGCCTTTTATAAACAACTCAATAAAAACTGTAAACAGAACAGTAATGATAATTTAGTGGTTTTAGAGAGTTTCTACAAACCTTAGTGGTCGTATTATTAGATAAAGTATTGTCAATCTAAATTTTTTTCTTGCAAATTTATTCAGGTCATCAGGCTCCCTTGAAGTAAATAGTTACGTGAGTTCGAATCTCACTGGCCGCTTATGCTTTATTATCAATCTTTCGCTGTTTATTCCCTGTCAACGTAAAGATGAAAGATAAATACGAAAAAAAAAAAAAGTAAGTAAATACGTGTCAAAATTAATAAGGATTTAAGGTCGTATGATATATAATCTTAGTTAAAGAGTGATGCAAAGTCTAAAAATTATTTACTAAACAAAGAAAAAATAAAATAAATTTTAATTTTTTAAATTTATTACGTTTGTCTATTATTTTTAATTATCATATCTGATGTCATAAAAAGCGACCTTTGCCTCAAGCCCTACCCCAATATTAGAATTTCACAAGTTTATAATAAGTACATAAAACGAAACTTCTTTTTAGCATGTCTAAATTGAGAACACTCCAATAATATTCGACGTAGCATGCAACAATTTTGAAAGTATTCTTTGCTGAGCTGCCTGTGGTTTGGGATCTTATATACAAATGGGTTTTATATCGTCGAAGATATTAAAAAACAAAAACGAACAAAATGTTTCGCTTTCATAGTCAAAATCCATACATTTAATTTATATAAATGGATTTCAATAAAAAAAAATACTTCAGATGATCTTAGAAAATTAATCCTCGTTTTGGTGCTTATGCATTCCCAGTTACATAAGTTAAGGAATATTTATATTGCTATCTTTTTTTAGCTTTATGTTTCGAATTTTGCGTTAGTAATTTTATTTTTTAGTTGCCGATTGTAGTAAATAAAATGGAAGTTAAATGCATCGCTTGAGAAAGGAAATAATTTCTCGGAATTTTCATCATTTAAATAAAGTATTGTAAACCAGATGGATAAAAGTGGTTAAAAGTGAAGAAACAGCACAAGAGGCGAGAACTTACCGTTAGCGTGGGTTACAACTGTTTGTTTTGCTTTCAGGCTCTCAAAATCTGTCATGAACTGAGTGTGCTGATGCATATTCATTTCAGATGGAAATTTAGTCAAAGATAATAAAATACTTAAACTTTTTCTTAGTTTTTCCTTTTAATCTTATGACATTAAATTGGGATTATATAAAGAATGAAGTGTTAATTTAAAACTAAAAGAGGACCTAAAAGGGAATTTTATAAAAAAAAGTTTTATATATATAAGGTTTTAAAAATTCTCTTTTAAAGATAATTTATAAATTATACTTAAAAATAAGATATATTTAATAAATTAAAAATAAGTCATATTTGGATAATTTATATTAAGTTTAAGTAAGAATATCTTTAAAAATTTAATATTAAAGAATAAAAATATATTTCAAAATAAAAATATAATAAAATAAAAATATAATAAGATAAAATAAATTATATATTTTTAACTATAAGTTAAATCAAGTTATATTAAAAAAACAAACATACAAAGTTATATTTAAAATACCTAAAAAAATATATATAGATAAAGAGTTGTAAGTGATAAAAAGAAAGCGAGTTATTAGAACAGGGAAAAATTATAAGATATAATTAATATGGTGAAAATGGAAATATAGAAATTAGAAATAGATATACATTCGACATTTGAAGAGTTAGAGAATTATAAGGTAATAAAGTAAAATCTATATTATGAAAATTTAAATTTGTTTTTATGTCGACATTTTAAAATTAATTCATTTCTTTGACATTGCTTTGATTATTGTATTTTATTATACTATTTTTTTCTTCTATACATAAGTTACACCCATCTCGAAGACTGTTAGGTGTATGAGTGGAATTTATAATTTTCCAGTCTATCGGTTGGTTCAGACCTTTCTCCTTTAATTCCCCAAATTTTTTGAAAGAGCTGTCTGGTGTTTTAATCTAGGGTTGGTAAAAGAGTGTCTATGGGTATAAAATCTCCCCTGAGGAAATTCCAATGTAAACATT